CTAAAACTTTTCTGACCCAAGTAAAGTAGTAAAGAGTAAAGGATATATATCTGGGTCTTTCTTTCCCAGTTTCCCTGCCTCCTCCTCCTCTAGCTGTCCTTTCATCTCCAACAGGTGCTTGATTTTCTGCTCAAAGTTGTTCACCCACTCACTGACTGGAAAAAGCAGTTGACACTCAGTGAATCAAATGCATTGAAAATGATTGGTAGGTAAATCAACTTAGATAAAATTAACAGTGAATAAATCACCTGCAATGAAGATCAGCATACAGTAAATAGACTGCAAATTGATAAGCAGTTGACTGACAAAATAGTTGAAGAATGGCTTGTCTTGCACTCAGTGACATCTATTTTGCTGCTCCTAATTGTAAATGATAACAGTGACCATTCTCCCTTTCACAACAATTTCATCATGCAACTTTAGTGCAAAATGCTTTAAGCAGAGAGCTGGATGAATAAAAACAAAATTAACAATAAAAAAAAAAGTTTGGATCAAGAGTCTGCTGCATTGCACTTACTATTTTAGAGACCAAACACACATTAGATAAGCGAAATAAAATGTGCATCCATCTCTACTTACTGTCAGACTGAGTCAGCTTATTAATGGGGATAGCTGCGCGTGCATGCATGATCCCACAACGATGTGGCATCTCATCTTCCTGAGGATATTCCGCACCGCTGTAGTAGTCAACAGAGAACACAATACGCAGGTAGAGTATCATCTTGTCCAGTACCTGAAATATAAAGGTAAGAATTAGGAATGAAAAAGAGAACAATCCATGGTATTTTTTAAAAATTATTTTTCAATAATTTGCACTTCTCTTTCAGTCTATGTAAATAAAATTTTGTCAAAATATTATATTGAAGATTAGTTGAATATTTTTGCCTATGCAATTTACAAACATGCTCAAGCACCAGACCTTATAAACCCGCAGCAGCAACTGTCTCAGTTTGCAAAATGTTAGAGGATAAATGCTTCATCACATGTGAAAACAAAAATTCACCCAAAAAGGCAAAAAGTGACAGAGCAACACTTGGCAAACTGACCTTCATCACTTTTTCATCTCTCTCTGGAGTGATCTCCCCGTTCTGGCCGTCTTTCTTCTCCTCCAGTGCCTCCTCTCCCAGTAATTCCTCCTCCTCATAACTCCCCTCCTCCACCAAGTAGTCCGTTATGTTCTTCAGCACTGGGTTTTTGGATACTAACCCAAAACTCTGAAAACCATGAGACATTCTTTATAAAGAGCTTTATACAGAGTGGACTTCTGTAATAAAAAAAAATCCTAAAAATATAAATGCAGCTCTATATGGGAGTGGGAGGTGGGGGGAGGGGGGGTTTACAAATACAAAACCCAAGTAAAAACCTGTTGCAAAAAAGAGCTTCAGATCCCTAAAGCTGCTCTACATAACATAACATAACATAACATAATTTTATTTCACGTCAGTTTTCCAACAAGCACAACACTAGCCATAGCAGGCTAATATCACCGACAAAATGAAATAAATTAATGTGAAGTACTATAATAGTGATATAAAAATTAAATAAATAAATAATTTATTTTTATATGCAGTTGTTTTACCTGAGAAAATATTAAAAGTATTTAAGTGTTTAACACTATTTATTGTATAAAAGTGAGATGTTGCCTTAGAGGCTACCTGAGATTTAAAACCAGAATGCCTTTTAGGCTATACATTTGCACACAATTCACATTTCCAGTTTGACTGGGGTGTCCAGTTTTGGACCATACCTTTAAAAGTGTCCAGATCTTTACAATTTTTCATTGATACTGGCAACATATTCCATAGTTTAGCACCACTGTAGGCTAATGAATTTAATCCATAGCATTTTGTCCTGCAGTGCTTCTGAAGCAACTGATTTGAGTTCCTTAAGCTGTAAGGTACTTCTTTAACACTGAACAAATCCCACATGAAAGGTGGGGAGAGCTTATTTACTGATTTAAACACTTCAATTATTACAGCTCTATTCCTAGAAAGCTCAAGAGTAGATAACCCTGCTTTCTCTAGTAATGTACTATAACTAGACTCAAAATCATCATACACAAACTTTAAGGCTCTGTACTGAATGCGTTCCATCTTTGCACAATCTACAGCACCACAAAAGTTCCAAGCTAAAGCACAATAGTTAAACTGTGATAAAATAAAACATCTAAAGACTTGTAGTCTAGACATTTCATCAAGGTACTGTGAAAGTCTCTGTAACACTTTAAGTTGAGCACCTGCCTTCTTACATAGTACACTGATATGATAATGAAAATTAAGTCTTTCATCAATATTCACACCTAATAGTTTCACATGTGGTTCTGTGGTGATATTAGCATTATCAATACTGATAGTATTTCTATCTGTAGTTTCATTTAACATAATAGCATGAAATTTAGATGGGTTAGCCTCCATCATATTGTCTCTGAACCACTTTATGGCAGTCTCTGACTCTGTAGTTAGAGTCTCTATCACCTCCTGTCNTGGCCCGATCATGCCCATTTTCGGACTTGACCTGCGTTTTAAAAAGATTGATTACTTCTCTGAGTTTCATGACAACAGGCCTAACGGTTTTCCTTAAAATGTGTTTACAGGGTTGCATATATGCTGAAAAGAGAAAAAACAGCATAACTTCTACAATAATGGCCCGATCATGCTGATTTTCGAACTTGACCTGCGTTTTATGAATATTCATCAGCTCTGTAAATATAAAACCAAAAAATAAAACTGTGTTCCACTTATCGTGTTTACAGTGAAAGTGCACGGCGACGGCATCGGCATCGGCATCGGCATCGGCGACGACGGCGACGACAGACGCAGGTGATGGCAATATGTACAGACACATCTGTGTCTGTACATAATAAAAAGTTAACCACTCACTGCTTCAACTTCCTGCTTGGTAATTGTAGGGGCCAGATTTCTCAGGAATATTGACAGAGTTTGGTGCAGAGGTCTAGGTCTGGTGTCTGCCTCTTCTTTCTCTTCTCCTTCTTCAACCCCAGATTCTGAGACTGGGTTAAAAAATCAAAAACTGTTTAAACTGCACATCATCAACATCATCACCATCGTTACAATTTATACTAACAGTCCAATCTAGCAGACACCACTTTGAGTGAAAAGGACCATAGCCACAGATATCAGTTATTCATAAATGCAAGGAGTCCAGAATTTTCTTTCAAAATTGCATTATTGTACATAAAATATAGATAATATAAAAACCCTGCCCACCTCCTTTCTCCTCTCCCTGTTTCTCCTCTTTGGTGTCCGTCCCAGGGGCCTGCTCTCCTGTCCCTGGAGGTGCTGGTTCATCCTCAACTCCAGGGGGCGCTGGCTCTGACTCAGAGTCAGATCCACTCTCAGATTCCGAGCCACTTTCGTAGCTGTACTCTGTCTTGTCGCGATGGCGTTTCTTTTTCTTGTCCCTCTTCTCACTCTGGAGGAAGGAAAGACTGGCACATTGTAACAATTCTTACTTTAAAAGCACTTCTAGGATTTGTGGCATTCGTTTATATTTGTCAAAGATGAAGATTATGCTTCATTAACGATTTAACAAACATTTTGTTTTATTTCTCAGAAAAGATACTGTCATACTGAAATTAATTGTGCCTGAAAAAGTATTTATATCATGATGCTTCATTTTGATTGGTGAAACAATATCATGGTCTCACAACAATAATGCTAAATAAGTACTTTTCCAAAATGACTTTTCTTTATTACCTCCTCTTCTTCCTTGTCCTTCTGCTTGGAGAATTCCTCTGCCTTTTTCTGTAAGTCTTCCTGTTCTGGGTTCATGTTTAGTTTAACAGGTTCCTGCTTTATTAAAGAAAGAACAACAGTATACATCAGATTTGTATGCTACTCATCAATAATACCAGAAAAAAATGACAACTTGATATTACCAGCAATTTTGTAGAAACTGTTTTACCAAAGCAAAGATTTTGCCGCCAAATATATAACAAAATATGGTATAGGGAGGAATAAAACATTTTGATCAAATATAACAAGCAAACTTACATTATCTGACTTTTGACGATCTTCCCTTCTGCTGGTATCATCAGATGTCCTGTTATTAAAAGGTCAAAGTCATTTAAGGGTCACAATAAAGACAATTTTTGTGCACAAACAAGGATGATTTAAATGGTAGGTTTAAGGACCAAACTGAACAATTTATGTTAAACAGTTCTTTTCACCCTCTCATATAAAACCTGTTGTTGTTGTTGTTTTATAATCTTGAAACTGTTAAGTGTCCAATTCCACTCATACCCTACCCGTATCTGGTGGCCAAACCCAATTGTACACACTTCTGGTCTGATACACAAACCCACTTGTACACACAACTCAACTAATGTCTTAACCCACTTGTATCCACACCCACTTACACCCACCCTTTATCTGGTGTCTGTGATTCCGAGTTAGGTCTGCTTCTCCTTCCCTCCTCCAGTTTCTCTGCAGGCATCTCCAGTACTTTGAGGTCCTGCTCGTTGCCTCCTTCCAGTAGTATTATGGCTGTAATATTGAATTGTGTTAGGTAAGACAAGGAATTGGCTGTGAAAATTGTGTTAGCTGTGATAACTGACTTTTGTATATGATTGGGGTAGGTGAGACATGAGGGCTGACTGTGAACATCATGTTAGCTGTGGTAACTGCATATACAATTGTGTATTTAATACAGTGGAAATTTCCCTAATTATAATACCCCTATCCCAGTGAAGACACAACTCACCTGCATCCAACAACTTCACCAAATTATCCGTCTTCTCGATATCCACGCTACAACTGTCCACCTTGCCCATCTCCATCAGCTGTGTAAAAACTCTCGCACGAAACTTCAGGGCCCCCATCATCTCCTCGCGCCTCTTGTCGCACTCCTCAGGATGGTACTTGGCCTTGAACCTTCAAAGACAACCAGAGAGAGCCACTGATTAGTTTGTAAGGGTGAGGGACACTATTAAATGGTGGTCACATCTGTGTACACAGATATAGTGAAAAATTTTTGGACTGGCAGAAACCACCTGTTTACCAACATTTTTTTTAAAATCATGCAATATTTAAGTTATTCAATTTCTAGTAAGTACCAATTATTAATTCAAAATCCCTCTCAATCTTTTCTTTCCTTTTTCTTCAAGCCATTTCACAAACTTCTGAATATCTGTATTTTATGGAACAACATCACTTTGCTTTATTTCATCACTTTAAATTTGGAGTCAAAATTGCTAAAGCAGTGAAATTTTACACACAATTCACATATTTCAACAAAAAAAAATCGTTCTCCAGTGGTAACCATGATGCACTTATGCAGATGCACTGTCACCCATCCAAACCTTACTATCTTACCATACCTACGTCCAGTCCTCCATCGAAGCAGCATTATAAAACTCCACGCGATTTAAATGATTTGACCTATTTATCTACCTAACACTTTGGCAGCTACTGCATTAAAAGCATGCAGAAGGATGATTGCTAGCTAGCTAAGGTATAAATAAACGCGAGTCTTGGCAATCCAACGAAGAGCTTGTCTTTGGCGAAGGTCTTTGGCGCGAAATATTTACGAAGGTATAAAATTTCTTGCCATTTCTTTGTCGTGGATGAGCTGGTGGGTGAAGAAATTTGGATTAGACACTCATGGGACAAGAAGACAGCTTTTAAGACAGAAAATTAGGGTAGCATGCTTATGTACCGTATCTGAAACTCTATCAGAATTATTAAATGATAATTTTTCAGCATCTTGTAATTGAAGAATAGAAAATTTTCACCGTTTTGTTATGGAATTTGCATATTGACAATTTCTGTTACTATAAAATTACTAATGAAAAAAGACAGATGAATTTATTCAAATTACTCAAAGATAATATCAAAATTTATTTGTTAAAAGAAAAGTATAATGGATATGAAAGGCTACCACACAAATATCTGCCATCAAGCTGTCTCACTGTACGCCTGACATCAATTTATATAAGGAACGCAAAATTACTGATAAAATTGTGAAAATTCAACAATTATTTTAGGAGCACTTTGGACATAAATATACAAGAAAATGTATATAATTATCTATAATATCTGTGAATAATAAAAAAAAAAATTATTGAAAAATAAATTATTTGAGAAATTGAAATAATTTAATAAAGGGGCACTAAGCCCCTCTCCCCCCCCCCCAAAAAAAAATTTTTTTTTAACATTTGAATTTTGTATAATCCTTGATTATGCATTTCGTATTTTTGCTTATGCAAACATAAACTAAACAAGATTTCACAACTACTACATGCAACATATAACTCCATGATAAAAAAAAAAGATTAAAAAAAAACAACAACACATTATTTAAAAATTTCCCAAACTAATTCCACCTACCACTCTTCCTCTTTATGTTGAAGGAAGAAATCATTGATCTGCTGACGAGAGAAATCTATTTTATATTCGTTGTATTTTTTCACAGCATCCTGGTCACTAATGGTGTCGTCTTGCTGACCTAGAAACTGCTTGAAGGTCATCATGGGAGGCTGGGTCGGAAAGTCAGGCTCCTGACCTCTGGAAGTAGAATTATGACCATTGATCATTTATAATAATAATAATAATAATAATAATAATAATAATAATAATACTTCATTACAAAATGCAACCCATTTGGCTGAAGTTGTCCATGAGAGACATATATTCTTTTCAATGGACATCGTTTTCTGTTCAGTAAAATGTCTTTTTCTTACCAAAATATAATCTGAAACTATTCTAGCACCCTTAAAGCATGACTAAGGCTGTATTCCCAGAGCTTTTAGATCGATCTATCCCCGCGGGGAGTCTCACTAGATTACTGTCAGATAATCCGGCTTAAATGTCCGTCCAGCTAAGCTGTAAGGGGGTAATTAACTTTCGTGTCCGCTCAGCTGAGAGCTATTTAGCGTGAACCCCCAGGGAGTTAGGTCGATCTAACATAGATCGATCTAATCTCTGGAAATGGGGTCTAAATATTAGCCAGAGTTTCCAGACTTCATGGCCCCAGGTATGAATCCAGGCAGTAGTTACCTATGACCTGGATAATGTTGCTGTGGAGGGGGCATATCACCAGGTCCTGGACCCCAGCCATGGGGCGGCCCTGGGGGTCCTCCCCCACCCCCACCTCCTCCTCCGCCACCTCCATAAGGCATGTCATAGCCATAGGGGGCATCGTCCCTGAAAATAGACAGACATGTAATGTTTGAGGGTTCTTTAAATGAGAAAAACAAAGACATCAACTGATGACACAAGCAACAAGTGAAGGCATTGCAGACAGTTATCAGATAGACATCCAAACTTACATGAGAGTGTTATAATATCAGCTGGTTACAGAAAATTTACAAAATAATTGATATTGATATTTCATAGCCTGTTGACAAAGCCATTACTTGTTGCCTTAAACCTTGTCATCATTCTCAAAGTATAAAATACCCACCAATCTCTTCTCATCCTCTTCATGGGGGGGCTGACATCATGACGGGAAGGCGAGTATCGATCCCGTCTTCCGCGCTCATAATCCCTGTACATATCTCGACTTCTCTCACGATTTCTGCTGCTCCAACTGTCTCTGTTCCTGTGGATTGTAAAACAAGGAATGGAGATAATCAGGGATGAGACTGTCTTTTAGTAAAAGAAGTCTGAAAAATCTGGCATGTTTCTTTTTTTAAAATAAAGTTCACTTGAATGAAAACTTGTCTTTACAGGGATTTGACTGCCATTTAGCATAAATATGGCATGGGGCCCAGGGTGCCTCTTTTACCAAGGGTACTTCTGGCTCTCAAAAAGTCGGAAAAGCACCGACAGTTGAAAAATCTCCTTGATATCCCTGCAAATTAAGGCACCCCCAAAGCCTGAGCTCATAGAAACCCTGCTCACCTAGAGTCATCCCATGGCTCTCTCCTCCTTTCCTCCCTCCTTCCTGCATAATCATCTCTTTCACGGCGAAATTTATCACGACCACGTCTTCTGTCGTATTCTTCATCACTGTCTCCCATGCTTGTACCTTCCGACTCTAAAGATCTAAAATACATAAAATTTAAATCTACAATATGAGATATAAGAGATTAAAAAATGCATCACCATAACATTGCTAATAAGTTTTCTTTTACGTGAAAATTAGGGGATTCCGTAGAGTATACATTATAAACTAGTAGATAAAATTCTACAGACAAAGGGGGTTATTTTTAAACAATCGTTTAACCCAGATTATAAAAAATATAACAACGAAATCAATTTGTTAAACCACTGTCGTGAATTTTGGTGATTTATGATAATTCTATTTCATTTCATGTCTCTGTTTTTTCTATTAAACGAGCAAAGGATAGTCTCTTTTCTTTTCTAACGCTATCGTTAATGGAAATGAGAGGAAAAATTTCCCGGCAAAAATAACTAGAGTGCATTCACGACGTTTTAAGACAAGCATTCTATAAAGACGCATGCTACAAGAACAGATCCATTTTCTTACATACCCCTTAAAATTCTGGGCTTGGAAATTCAAAAACCAAGCTGATCAGGAGAGAAAAATATGACTGATTTATTTAAAATCACGCCGATCGGCCATATGCACGCATTCCCACAATTCCTCAAAATGACCTAGTTTCAACATCCGCTTTCTACTTTCTTAGTGTTGTGTGGAGTTTCTGTTTTTTCAACTGTTATAAATGTTTGAAAATCAAATTAGATGGGCCTTCTTCATGTTAGATCTACATATATAGGTAACACTATTAATGTTAATGACACGGAGTGTTTCATCACAATATAATGACAGCCTAGGCTACTGAGTACAGATTCCTCAACTTCTTGGAAGTTGGAGAAGATTGCAGAAAACTTACTAACCAGAAAAGAAAGACTTCACACATTGGAGAAATTTAATGAATGATGTGGGGACAGTGGTGGGACGTTCACATGAAATTATCAGTGTGTTAGCCATGAAGGAACGTATTCCCCCACCCTGTAACTTTCTGTAACTTTCACTTTTCAAACAGTTTTTTACATTTTATTGTTCATCTATGTCAAAGCTGTTGAAATAAAATGCTTTTGTAATTACCTGTGGACTTTTTATTAGTTTTAATCACGTTTAATCCAGCCCATTGAAATACAATGTTAGAATCTTCAATTTACACCAGCGGTCAATAACTTGCCGCATTTTCGTTGGCTAACTCTAAGGTAATTTTATGTGAACAAGTAGCTCATAATAATTTCACAGAGGAAGTCCAATGTACAATGTATCAATCCTATGTTCACCATATTGATGCGTCAAAAGTAGTACTGAGCCATCACACAAATTACAGGTAGTCAAAAAAGAAAACGAGGAAGAGCATCCTGCAAGAGGGCGACCATATCCTGTTGCTTTATTTAGAAATCGGGGCCGTAGCAATAGTCCGAAGGTTCAATAGTCCGAAGGTTCATTGGTCCGAATGTTCACTACAGAACCTTCGGACCAATGAACCCTTGATTAAAAAACCGATGAAAATGTTACCGTTTTTCGGACCAATGAACCTTCGGACCAATCGAGACGCCCCCTAGAAATCAATATCTGTAGTTGAGTGTAATAGATTGTATTATGGAGAATTTGAAGTTACATGTAGTTTCATTATTCAGTTTTATCACATATGTAATCAGAATGTTGTAGATCTAATACTTACAACATTGGGATTATCTTGTTGAAATAAAGCCCATTTGATGACAGTTGTGTTCTTCATCTTATTTTCTTTATGTGTGCACATGGTAAAGTGATGATAATAAGTTTTCAATGGCAGGTCTCTTACAAGAAAATTGCCGTTTTCTAACTCCAGCTTTAGAATTGAGAACACAAATGTGCATATTACCCACAAATTGACTATCTCCACTTTACCATGAGGAAAATTCGGAGCTTGACATTAAGGGTTGGGTTGTTTATTTTGCAACCGCTTTTCCCTCTCAGACAACCAAATCTTGACCAGCAGTTGCTCAACTATGCAACTGATTTGAATTTAAGGGTTTTGTAACACTTAATTATCATCCAGACACCGGAATGAGGCTTTCCTGCATCTAATTATTCAATAATGCATCTATCTTTGTACTGATTTTAAACAATAAAAATCTAGTAAATATAGAATATAGGCGTTTATATTTCTTGTTGCAATGTATACGCATGGGGAACTCAAAGTGTTAATGGTCAATTTAACACTTTTATATTCTGAGGTGAGATAACAAACGACGTAAATTCATCCCTAAACAAGATTTTATCACAAAAATTGACCACGAGTGTATAGGCTACAATCCCATGACGTTTTATTGGTTTAATTGTGCTTTTTTTTT